CTCCCTCCGCCCCGGCCCCCTCCCGAGCGCCAGCCCTGGAGACAATCTCTGGTCGGAGAAACGTACAAGTTGAAAGCAGAAAGCTGGTCCCGTCTCACCCAGACGCTCCGCAACCCCCCCCCCCATTAACGTCTACTTTGTACGGGTAGCAAATAAAGCCAACGGGTTCCTGGGGCAAGAGGGTTTCCCGCCCCGTGGGGCCGCATGACCCCCCAGGACAGGATCCTGTCGCACGTCAGCCGTTCGGCAGCAACGTCCCTCGGCAGGGTCTGCTTCGGGCTGGCGGGACGCTTTCCTTTCAGCCACTTTGGCAGTTTCTGCAATGCCTGGCAGGCCCTGGTGTTTCCGAGGACGGGGCGGGAGCCTGGACCGGATCAGCACACGTGGCCGGGACAGGCTTCTCCCTAGCCCTGCAGCGAGCGCCTGGCTGGGCCCCGAGGCAGGAGGCCAACATATGCTTATTTCTGGCCCACAGAAATCTGCCTGGGCTGAGCTCTGATCAGGGCCCCAGTCCCCTCCCTGCAGGGCCGCCTGGAGCCCACGTGCGAGGAATGAAGAGGGCCAGTCCTAACGCTGACCGGCCATCTGCCCTCCCGCCTCCAATCCTGGGACTGCAGATGCTGCTTCAGCAGGCCCCTGAATCCCTGGAGAGCAACACGGGCAGAATCCCGGGGACCGGCTGGAGCTCACTCACTTCTCGAGGGCCGATGGGCGCAGCCAGGCCTTCCCCCAGGACAGCCGTGTAGTAGGCCAAGTTCTGATTCATCACTTCGTCGCTCGGGAAGAAAAGCAGGTAGGTCTTGGCGCACTCAATGGCCTTCTCGTAACTCCCACCTGCCAAGAGAAACCCGCTCTGGAGAGCAGCCTCCCCGTGCTCTGCGCTGGCAGGGCGGGTGCTGGATGGGAGCAGCGCTCGGAGGCCTTCCGGTGCGACCCAGGCTCTGCGTCAGACACGTGACCAGCCACACGGGGCAGGCCGAAGGTCCACCCCGCCCAGCGTCCTGGCTGCCCACAGGGGCCAGTGCCAGGTGCCCCAGAGGGCAATTATCCGGTGATCCATCCCCTGTTGTCCTGTCCCAGGCTTTGGCAGTCAAAGGCCAGGGAAACCCAGCACATGGGGCTGGCTCCCTCAACCACCTTGGCTAAGCACCTGCTGGGCCCAGCCTCCACAAACCTGCAATGGGAAACCTGGGGTTCCACTCCATTCCTCTGGATAGCTACTCACATTCAGCCTTACTCCCAGGGCTCGTCCGATTTCCTTCACTTGCCTCGTCTCCCGCTTCGCAACCACGGGGAGCAATCTTCCCTGCGCTGCAGCCCCCTGTGATGTGCAGCCCCCCAGCACCCAGCCAGCAGAGGAGGCCAAGCGGCTTGCCATGTACTCCCCCACGGGAATCCCTCATGCTGGGGGCACAGCTCTGCAGCAGGAACTGTCCTGGCTGCGCTGGAAACGGGAGTCTCTCCGCTTGTGATTCTGCTCTTCCTCCTCCTCCCCCAGTCTAGACGCCAGGGCTGTGCACGTCCCTCTTCCCAGCAGAGGCTCCCTGCCCAGGGCTGGCAGCTTGCCCCGGTCGCTGCTCTACTTTGCAATGCCAACAGAGCCCACCTGGGAAGGCAGAGCAGAGCAGAGCAGAAACCAGCCCTGCAGCCACAAAGGGGAGCAGACAGGAGCTCAGAGTAATCGGAGGACGCCCAGAAACGAGGCCGCGCTGCAGCCCGAAGGGGTGAAACGATGCACCTCTGTGTGTGTGCACCACGGGAAGAGATCTCGGTCCCTCCTCCTGGGCCTGGCCAGTCTTCTCCGGACACAGGAGACTTCTCCTGACGTTAGAGGAGTGAGCCCTGGAAACGCCTCCCTCGGTCCTGGAAGGAGCTTTCAGGGATTGTCGAGGGAGCGCACAGCAGGACGGGAAAGGCTGCCAGCATGGGGCAGGCCCCTTGTTGGGGGGCGGCAAGGGGCGCCCAGTGCACCGAACATCCTGCAGCCTGTGTGAGAGGAAGGAGGGCGGGGTTGGGGGGATGGGAGGAGACCCCATGGTAGTAAGTTGAGGGTCGGTCACCAGTGTTGGCAGTCAGGGTTTCAGGGTTGTCCCGGTGGGTTCCTGACAGGTCCTGTGCTCCGTCAGTGATGAGAAACTCTCGGCTGCCTGCGTGCGCTCCCTCTATCTAAAGCACTAAACCTTGAGCCCTTGGGTCAACACAGCAGACCTCAGAGAGCCCCTGGAAACGACAGATTCGGGCAAGGATGAAAGCAATCAAGCAGGTTCGTTGCAAAATGCCAGGTATTAGCTGTAGTTAGCAGACTGTGCATTCTGCATTGGCTACGACGCCCTCCTACACAGGCCTATTGCACCCCCCCCAGGTCGGTCGGCGCTCACTCGCTGCGGTGCCCTGTTAGAGACAGATACAAACCAGTTACTTCACTTCTTTTGTACCAAGTTGCCACCCTCTGTTACCTAGTTACCACCCGTCACCTTGCAGGAGGGGGGCTTCCTTACTATCCCTCATGCTGTCAACATCCACCCGGCCCTGAGCCTCGGTCGGTACGTCCACTGGATTTTGGGGAGTCGGTCAGCACCAAGACGTTTCTCCTTGAGATGTTCTGCTCCGCCCCTCTGGCTTGATCGACAATCATGCGATTCTCAATAGGGCCTCTTTGCCGTGTCCCTGAACCAAAGTCTTGCTCACGCGATTCCAGGCCTGTCGCGGTTTTCATGTAACAGGCCTTTATCCAGGCCTGCCGACTCCGTGTCGCCCACCCCCCACTTCCTGCAGCGAGAGGCAGCCCCAGTTACGCAGGCGGCTGGAGCTCCGGGTTGTGCAAGGCTTCGAGAGGAGCAGGGTGGAAGGGGTCTGGAGTCCAGGGTCCTCACGCAGCCCTGGGGTGAACGCCCTTGCCAGACGCGTGGCTCGCCCCCCCCCCACAACTAGCCTTGCTCAAGGTTCCACAGAAACCAGCTACTGACGCGCGTCTGGGCTTTGTGGCAAGAGCATCCCTGGGCTGGGCTGCTGCTGTGCCCCACAGGCCCCTCCACGGGGGGGGGGGTGCCAAAACCTCCCTGGGATGGCCGCCCGTCACCCGCCAGCCTAGCAGAAAGGAAAGTGCGCCACCTGCTGGGGAAAACGAACGGCACGCCAGGGTGCGGTGGAATCCCGCCACGCTCACGGGCTGACAAGCAGGAGCCGTTCTAAAGCACCTGGAGCAATGCAGAAGCATCCTGCCGGGTGGTTTCCTAGACCCCGGGGGGGCTCAAAACAGGCTGCAAGGAGGAACTCAGTCCGAACAGGGAGGTGAAACATGCCAAGATGGGAGCGACAACGACTGGATGTTACCAAAGCAGGGGCCACACTGAGCTCTAGGAGGGGCAGCGGACATGGAGGCTCAGCCCAGCTCCATATCATCGGGCAGCACGGCTGCAGGACGACAGGCTTCCAGGCTTAGCATGCCCCTGTAAGCACTACTTCCCGGCAGGCACAGAGACACCCACACGCTCCATTACCAGCGGCTGCTAACCGACAAACTGTCCGTTGGAACTGAAGTTTTCCAGGCTTTGGCTCTTCCCGGGGCTGATTTTTCTGGAAAGCGCGTGCAGCAGCTGAGGGGCAGTTCAGCGGTTCCTGAGGAGACTGGCAAAACTGCCCATTTTTCACTAATATTCAAAAAATCCCAACTGTTTTCTGAATTCTTCTAAGGCACCGAGGTTTGGAGCAGGGGCCTTAGGAGAGGGGGCAGCCCCAGGACCAGGAAGGGGCCTTTCATCTTCCAGATTTGGCCAACGTAGAAGCCTCAGAAATTCACTGCCACATCCCTATCAGGAGTGGCTCAAGATTTAGCCCTTGATTTCCGGAATGTTCCAACTGTGCTGGGCCTGACACCAGCCCCCCCGAGCCTCCTGCACCCAGCCCGTCTGGTGAGCTAGTGCCCCAGGTGGGATATGGACCAGAGAGAGGATGAGCCCCCGGAGCGGCTACTTTCCTCCACCAAAGCAAGTGTACCTTGGGCCAAGGGCAGGTTCCCTGGTCAGGAGACCACAAGTTCTAGTCTCACCTTTCCCCAGAGCGAGCTGGAACCTGGCACTTCAAGGCTTCTCAAACGCCGTCGTTAACAGAGGCTCCTGCTGGGCTCCCGGGGCGGGTACGGATAGTCCCTCCCAAGGTACACGCGAGGTAACCCAGCGACAGGGAGTACAAGAAGGGGCGGCACCAGAGCTGGGTCTGCCAAACTCAGACATGCGGCCTGAGGGCGAAGCGACCCAATCTGTGACGTTAGCTCAGTGACGGGACGTGGCCTGGCTGGGAAACCACCATGCAGGTGAGGCCGCTCAGGCAACCGCTGGGAAGGGTTAGGAAACAACCCGAAATATTCACTAGGACCAGTCGACTGCTTATTGGATAGTTGACAGGACCGTCAACTGGTCGCCTCCCCCCGCCCACCTGTCTCTATCAGAGAGAGGCAGCAAGGCGGGGAAGGGCCCTAGGGCTGTTGCTACACTTCAAAGGCGGAGGCGCCCTATCAACTAATCAAATAGTCGATGCAAAAATGCATCGACCATTCGATGAGTCAGTGATCTGATACTTAACACCCCAACATTAGCCTAACTCCGCAGCATGTTGTGCTGTCTCCGCCCCCTCGTTTGTTAGGCCTAGGGGGTCCCATCTCCTGTCCTTGCTTTGTACAGCCCCCAGCACGACGGACCATCACAGCCCAGGTTGGACCCACCAGGCTATTCCTGGCTCTACGGCTTGCTGTATGAAACTGGGCAAGTCACTTACGGGTGCCCGGATGCCATTTGTCAGAGGGGCCGCGGACCCGCAGCTTTCACTGACTTCAGCTGCAGCTGGGAGCGTTCAGTGCTCCTGAAATCAGGCTCCAGGCCTCCAGTTGCTCACCTGGAACCCGGGGGCACGTGGCCTTAGTCTCTCAGAGGCTCGCCCACTGGAACGCAGCTCCGGGTGCAACAGAAAAGCCCAGGAAGGAATAAGAGACTCCGCAGCCACAGTGGCAGCTGGATAACGAGCAGGAAATCAGGCCGGGGGCTGCTCAGCAAATGAAAATACTGAACAGCCGCCTCCTTCCCTTGCACTGCCCCCCGGACACTGGCCAACGTGAGGGCGGGACGGTGGCATTTACGGTTCTCTCGTAATGAACATCCACAACGGGGCAGAAAGTTGCCTGGACAGCGGCAACTCCGGCCTTTCCCGACTCCCGAGTGCCCCTGATCATCTTCTCCAAGGCGGCTCTACGGATCCCGCCGCTGTCCGTGCAGCTGGAGGAGGGACCGAGGCAGCCAGGTTGGAGTGACTCCCGGCCCCTAATGGCAGAGAAACACGCGACACGCTGCTTACTGTTGTAATAGGCGAACTGCAGGTAGTTGAAGTGGGACGGAAGGAAATCCTCCACGGGCTTGCCCTGGCCAGGCTGGGAGGCGAGTTCGGTCACACAGCTCTGCTTGCAGCTGAGCACCTGCACGTAGTGATCTGCGAGAGAAAGACAGCGTGTTCCACGGACCCGGCGAGACCTGCCCTGGAGCCGCTGTCTTCAGCCAGGAGGCGGCTTCCCTCAGGGCCAAGAAAAGAGGGTTGGGAAGTTAAACCCCACTTAGCCCAAGCTTGTACTGTCTCCTGAGCAAGCAGACACCCAGCTCTCGGGCAGAAAGTGCCCCCCAACCTGACCCACTCAAAGGGGAAGCCACGTCAGTCACTGGAGCACGCAGGGGCTCAGGGCAGGCACCCTCATGCTGCACCCACCCGTAATGGCCTGGACCAGGTCAGCATTGTATTCCAGGTAGTTGTAGCCTTCGTAGTCGTAGGGCCCCTCGCAGAGAGCGCGACATTCGGCGTCAGCTACGAAATATTCCTCCAGCGCCTGGCTGCTCCTCGGTGTAAAACTTCACCCCCAGGCGGAACTCGCCCTGCAAAGAGCCAGGAGCAAAGTGAGCCCTGAGCCCAGCCCGACACATTCTCCCTGGGGTTCAGCACTCGCCCCCTCTCATCACGCGGCAGAGTGTGGCTGCACCACTTCGCAGGGTCCCTCACTCAGAGAGCTCTCCAAGCAGAGGCAGGCCAAACACCCCCCCACCCGCCATGGGCCAGACTACACGTCAATACAGCAGCCTTCAGAGCAACACTGCCCAGCCGGCGAGGGGCTCCGCTTTCATGGGCCAAGGGGTCAACCCCGGCCACTGGGGCATGGAACCTTCTGGGTCTCCCCCAATGGGTCTAGGGAGGGGGAATCCCCCACTGCAGTACTTGCTGGGCGTGTCGCCCTTCCACATTCCGGGTATTCCCAAAGACGGGTCTGTGCGTGCGCACGGGGATGGGCTCTCGGGTCAGCAGACTGGCCCAGGCACGGTGCCCTGCCACGCTGCTGCCGCGTGGCAGAACCCTGCTCTCCCCGGCCATGCTACGGCT